GAAAGGTAAAGGAGTAACCCGGAAGGGGGGGGGGGGGGTGGTTTGGCTTTTTTTTTTTTTTTTTTTTTAGATATAACAAAATCATTGAGTAGAAGAAGCAAGAGAGAGAAACTGGTCATTTAGTCATAAACATTCACCCAGATAACTGGTACAACGCAGTTATGTTAAGTGGTAAAAGGGAAGTGTCATCAAAAGTTTGTGGCCAGGCAGGGCCAGAGGACTGAAGGGAAAGCTAGGAGGAATAGGCAAGAGTGACTGAGGAAAGAGTCTGGGAAATATGGAGTGCCTTCAAAGAATTGAGTAGTGAATGAGGCCCAGGGAAGAGAATATCCCTTGAGTTTTTATGAGTGGCCTATTTGGGGGAACTTAACAGAAAATAAAGCTTTGTAGGAGGCCAGGTGGTAGAGTGGTTAAGAGTGTGAGTTCTAGAGTTGGCCCACTTAGGTTCAAACCCTGCATTGTCTCTTAAGATTATGTGATCTTGGGCATATTATTCAGCCTTTTTAACACTCCAGTGTAAAATGGGGGTAATAATAATAATAGCTACCTCAGAGAGTAGATGAATGTATCAATTAAGAATATTCAAGTAAAAAGCCTGGGTTTGTATCTGATACTCAGTAATTGCTCAAGTACACGTTAGCTGGTTAGCAATTATTATTTGTATATTTCCACTTTTTTTCAAGCCTGTAGCTACATGTTTAACCTAGTACCTTGTAACCTGCAAAATCGCACCATTTGTAAGTAGTATGAACCAAATTTAGATGACTTAAGAATACTTTTGTGGGACTTCCCTGGTGGTGCAGTGGTTAAGAATCCACCTGCCAATGCAGGGGACACGGGTTCGAGCCCTGGTCCAGGAAGATCCTGCATGCCGCGGAACAACTAAGCCCGTGTGCCACAGCTACTGAAGCCTGCGCACCTAGAGCTTGTGCTCCGTAACAAGAGAAGCCACCGCAGTGAGAAGCCTGCGCACTGCAATGAAGAGTAGCCCCAGCTCACCACAACTAGAGAAAGCCCGTGCACAGCAACAAAGACCCAATGCAGCCAAATTAAAAAAAAAAAAAAAAAGTTGAAATTGTAAATTAAAAAAAAAAACTTTTGTAATATGTTGGATATATCACTTACAGGAATAGGAGAGCTGTAATGGCTTGTTGGATTAAAGTTGACCGCAAAAAACGGTCTCATTTTATTTTATTTTTAATTAATTTATTTTTGGCTGCATTGGGTCTTCGTTGCTGTGTGCGGGCTTTCTCTAGTTGCGGTGAGTGGGGGCTACTGTTCATTGCAGTGCGTGGGTTTCTCATTGCGGTGACTTCTCTTGTTGCGGAGCACGGGCTCTAGGTGCGCAGGTTTCAGTAGTTGTGGCACGCAGGCTCAGTAGTTGTGGCTTGCGGGCTCTAGAGCTCAGGCTCAGTAGCTGTGGTGCACGGGCTTAGTTGCTCCACGACATGGGGGATCTTCCCGGACCAGGGCTCAAACCTGTGTCCCCTGCATTGACAGGCGGATTGGATTCTTAACCACTGTGCTACCAGGGAAGCCCTGATGTGGTACACTCTTAAACATAGTTTATTATATAATAACTAATACTATATAAATATACTTAGCGTTTTTCATATATATTTTAATGTCATAGAAGAAAAAAATGTGAATCATGGGGTTTCCTTCCCAGCCCCAAAACCTATTTTATGACACAGGGCACATTATTAGCCATAGGAAAGAGAGGGGTCAGATTGAGCTCACCCTCTTTTCTTTTTGAATGCAGGTAGTGGGCAGCAGTCAGTGACAGGTGTAACCTCTGTGGATGACAGCAATAGTTACTGGAGGATACGGGGGAAGACGGCCACAGTGTGTGAGAGGGGAACCCCCATCAGATGTGGTCAGCCCATCCGGCTGACACATGTCAACACTGGCCGAAACCTCCATAGTCACCACTTCACCTCACCTCTTTCTGGAAACCAGGTGAGGTGGCATCCTGTGGGTCATTGCTGCTCATTACTCAGTTGAGTTGTTTGATATCTTGGTTCTTAGCCCTTTCTTTTCCAGGTATTGATCTTCTCTTTTGTGCAGACCTGAAGAATTGCCTCTGTCTCATAAGTGTGAAGGAAGTTGTTTCTGGTCAAAATGGAGACTCTACGTTTAGATCAAATCAAGAAATGAGGAAAGAGAGAATAGGTATATGTTAGTGTATCATAAGTTATCTTGATAAATCTTGTAATAAACCCAGTGTTTTCCAAACTTGCGATAAAAATTATTATTTTTTAATGATGCCAACTAACCACATTAGGAAAATGAATTAGGTATTGTGCCATTTTTTTTAAGCCTTGAACTTCTAAAGGATGTGGATCCCTTAATGACTGCTTCCCTCCCACTCCCCCTCTGTACATATTTTTCCTTATCAACATCTTAACATTAGTATGGTAAATTTGCTACAGTTAATAAAGCAATACTGATATGTTGTTATCATCTAAAGTCTATAGTTCATTCTGATTTCCTTAGTTTTTACCTACTGTCTTTTTTCTGTTCCAGGATCCCATCCACACCACATTTATCATCTCCTTTAGTCATCTCCTTAGACTCCTCTTGGCTGTGACAGTTTCTCAGATTCTCCTTGTTTTTGTTGACCTTGATAGTTTATTTTTTATTTTTTATTCTTTTGGCCGGCCTCTCACTGTTGTGGCCTCTCCTGTTGCGGAGCACAGGCTCAGGACGCGCAGGCTCAGCGGCCATGGTGCATGGGCCCAGCCGCTCCGCGGCATGTGGGATCTTCCCGGACCGGGGCACGAACCAGTGTCCCCTGCATCGGCAGGCGGACTCTCAACCACTGCACCACCAGGGAAGCCCTGATAGTTTATTTTTTATAAATTTATCTATTCATTTTTGGCTGCGTTGGGTCTTCGTTGCTGCACGCATGCTTTCTCTAGTTGCGGCGAGTGGCGGCTATTCTTCGTTGCGGTGCACAGGCTGCTTATTGTGGTGGCTTCTCTTGTTGCGGAGCACGGGCTTTAGGTGCATAGGCTTTAGTAGTTGCAGCACGCAGGCTCAGTAGTTGTGGCTTGCGGGCTCTAGAGCGCAGGCTTAGTGGTTGTGGTGCACAGCTTAGTTGCTCCGTGGCACGTCGGATCTTCCTGGACCAGGGCTTGAACCCATGTACCCTGCATTGGCAGGCGGATTCCTAACCACTGTGCCACCAGGGAAGTCCTGACCTTGATAGTTCTGAGGAGTGCTAGTCAGGTATATTATAGGATGCTCCTCTGTTGGAATTTGTCTGATATTTTTCTTATGATTAAACTGGATTTATAAAGGTTTTGGGGAGGAAGACCACAGAGGTGCCATTTTCATCCCATCTATCAAGGGTACATAGTATCTTATGATTGTTGATATTGATTACCTGGCTGAAGTAGTGTTTTTCAGGTTTCTCTTGTAAAGTTATTCTTTTCATTTTTTCCCTTTCCATACTGTACTCTTTGGAAGCAAGTCACTGTGCACAGCTCATACTTGAGTTGGGAGTTATGCTCCTCTTCCTTTAGGGTAGAATAGTTACATAATTTATTTGAAATTCTTCTGCATGGAAGATTTGTCTTTTCTCTATTCAGTCATTTATTTTCATTGGTATGGACTCCTGGATATTTATTTTATACTTTGAGTTATAATCCAGTATCACTGTCTTCATTATGTTGCTCACATTTTTCCAACTTCGGCTGTTGGGAGCTCTTTCAGTTGTCTCCTGTGTCCATTTGACCTGCTCCCATCATTGTGTATGCGTGTGGCTGTGTTTTAACACTTCCTTACTTTCTGGCAGTAAAAGATATTCCAGGCTCATCTTGTATATTTCTTGCCCCAGTCCTAGAATCAGTTATTTGCCTATGGAGTCCTGCTTCCTTTTATTGGAAAAGGGTATTCTTAAACCAAGATCTAGGCCTTCCATGAACTTGTTGCTAGGGGGTTTTGTTTCTTTTAGGCCCTCTTACCTGACAGAGCAAAGAAATATATGTATGTACGTGTATATACTCATATTTATTGTAAGTGTTCACATATGTAACCATCTATATCTGTATTAAGTTAAACATGAGTTCTTACTGATGCCTCCAATTCTAATCCATTGCCACATAGACCATTTTAGCCTCCTCCCTTTGCTTATTTGTGAATTCCCATTCTAACAGTGAGACACCGGGCTGCTAACACTGTCATCCATTTACTTAACTTGTTCAGTTCCAGTATACAAGTATTAGTAGGAGAATTGTTAATTATGTGCAGTTTCTTTTGCCTTTAGTCTTACAGACTTTATTTCCAAATGACTGATTTTTATCATCTAAAATTTTATAGCTTAGTGTATATTTAAATTGTATGTGTCTGGTAGTGGTCATTTTGTAATGTATAGAAATATTGAGTAACTGTGTTGTGCACCTGGAACTGAACATAGTGTTGTAGGTCAATTATACTTCAATTAAAAAAAAATTATGTATGTCTGAAATAATCAGTTACTTTTAAAATTGTGATAGAAACTCTGAATTTTTGGCCTTATGGGGAATGGGATTAGATTACGAGTGGAAGATAGAATCTGCTGTACTCTGCTCAATTAATATTTATTATTTTATTTAATTCTCACAATTATTTTGTAAGGTATTGTCATCATTTTATAGAGGAGAAAATGAAAGCCCAAAGGAGTTACACAGGAAGGGACAAAGCTGACATTCAAGGTTTGCCTGTTTCCAGAGCCCATCCCCTTTCCAACTTGTGTTTCTCACCACGTCACTTAATGTCTAGTTAAGGGAATGAGGCAGGAATATTTAAAGTCAAATAACAAGAGGTAAAGTATTTTAAGACTATAATAGAAAATATAAGGCACATAGAGGAATATTTGCAAAGTAAACGTTTGGACCATAATCTTATGGCAAGTGATTTCATGTCCTTGGTGTCTTTTTATCTTTTTTCCACAGTTTTATTTTATTTTATTTTATTTATTTTTAAACAACATTGGAAAGCCTCTTATTTATCACTTTTGGATAGTCTTAGTTTTATTCCCATTGCCTCTCTCCCCTTTTCAAGCCTATGTGTCAGCTATACTAATGTCGCTACCTATCTGTGTCTTCCAGGAAGTGAGTGCTTTTGGTGAGGAAGGTGAAGGCGACTATCTGGATGACTGGACAGTGCTCTGTAATGGGCCCTACTGGGTGAGGGATGGTGAGGTGCGGTTCAAGCATTCTTCCACTGAGGTTCTGCTGTCTGTCACAGGAGAACAATATGGTCGACCCATCAGTGGGCAAAAAGAGGTGCATGGCATGGCCCAGCCAAGCCAGAACAATTACTGGAAAGCCATGGAAGGCATCTTCATGAAGCCCAGTGAGTTGTTGAAGGCAGAAGGCCATCACACAGAGCTATGAGTCTGGAGGCTGTGAGCCACTGTCACCACACAGTGTTCATAGACATCTGCTGCTCCTTCCCCCTTTGGATCCCTGCCACAGGTGACCATGTCACCACTGAGATGAAGATGCATGATAGGAAACAGTGGATGTGTTTGGAAGCCTCAGCCCTTCACACTTGAATTGGTTGTTCTCCCAGACTTGGGTCAGTTATTTTTGAGTACAAGACTTGTTGGTGAAGGAGCAGATGCTTTTTATTCATATTAATAAAACAAAAACTGAGGGAGGCATCCCTCCTAGCTGGGAAATTTTTATTCCTCAGAATCTTGGCATCATGGATTATTAATGTGTGTGACTTTTCTCCCACTTTCTCCAGAATGATAAAAAAAATTTCACTGTTAGTCACTGTATTTTCATTTATTAGGCATGCTATTTCATAATCTGATTAATCCTTGAGTCCTAAGAGTCATTGCTAGCACTCTTTTGAGGTGATGGGAACCTTTGGTGTGGGCCCTTTTGAAAGCCTTACTTGCATCCCACTTTTTCTATCTTTACTTTCACTTCTCCCTCAGCACCTCATCTTTATTAGTTTTTTGACTAATTATGGCTATAGACCCTTAATAAATAGCCAATAAAATGTTTTACTTTGGATATGTTAACTGTACTTGAGAAGAAAGGGTAGGGGTGGAAAGCGGAACCAACATTTATTTACTGCTTGCTAAATACTAGGCACCATATTATAGATCTTACCTCATTTAATCTTCACAGATATGTTACCGGGTATATACTACGATTTTACCAATGCAGAACAGAAAAGTTGAGTAACCGCCCAAATTCTTAAAGCTAGTAAATAATTTGAAGACGGGAATCCATCTTTTTACTGCAGTACAACTGTGTTTAGTTCTTGGGAGATAACTATACTTTTTGGACAAATGTAGATATCTTTCTCTGAAAAGGGGATTAGAAAGCTTTTGTGCTCTACTCACCTCACTTCTTCCTTTCCTCTGCTTGGCAGTTCCAGGAAGTTTGCTTCTCTGTCCTTCAAGGATGGTAGTGGTGAACAGAAGTGTTTGTCATCTGCTGGAATTTCAGTGACTAGCGGTCCTTTTTATTTTTAGAAACTTCTGGATTTTTTCCTTACTTGCTTTAGGGAGTTAATGTTGAACGTTTGGGGGTACCCGGTCTGTGCCAGACGTGACCTGTAACATTAAAAGACTTGATCTCTTTTACAAGGGCTTGTCTCAGTAAGCTGAGACCAGGAACTAGTTGAGCTCCATCTCTGCCGCCTTCCCTCTTTTTCCACTTCAGTTGTATTGCTCCATTGAGAGCTCTCCAGAAAGAAGTAGACAAGTGATAAAATCAACATTTCATGCCACTGAGATAGTTGCGAGTAGGGTGGTTAACAGTCTGGGGAGAAAGAAAGGAAGTGATAGAAACAGCTGAGTAAAGGGATCAGCTTTCACAACATGAATGACAGTAGGGAGTTGTGTTGCAAGTACCCCTTCGTGGCTTGGTCAGAGTTTTTACTCAGTTGTTGGGCCTTCTCTGAAGGTTCACAGACAGAACATACCTTGAAGCTGCAGATTACAAGGTGGATGGCGGAACTATAGTGCCCGAGAGATAAGTACGAACTTGAAAAAAACAGTGGTGGAGCCCTTGGGAAGATGTGAAATGACCAATAAGAGGCTTAGATGAGGAAGGAAAACAGTTGGAGGGGTAAAAGCAACTTTGGGTAACCTAGGTGAAAGTTGAAATGGTGCTTTATCTGAAGAAGTGAAAAAAGTCTCCAAGAGAAATCCTGAAGGATGTTTATGGAGATTAGGATGTCAGAGCAAAGGGATATGAAGTACTTATTTTGAAATAATGTCAAAGAATCTGAAGCTAAAGAATTTTTTTAGCTTGTACTGTATTAACATCACTGTACTAGAGTTGGAAGGAATCTTTGTCCAATGACTTCACAGAGAAGGAAATAGGCAAAATAAAGTTGTCCCTGAATTCTCTATTTCATATAATTATGTTTGCTTCCTAGATAAATTGTTGCTGAAGAGCAAGAACAATATTCTTTACTTCTGTAATAACCCCTGGCCCAGTGCCTGGATTGTGCTATTCACAGTAGAAACTGAAAACTGCAATGAAGGGTCCAGAATGGTGCAACTCATTCCTTTGTGGATGGAATGAGGTGGGATTTTTGAGGCCTTTTAATGACCGCTTGGTTTCCTGCTTAATAATGTTAAGACAAGACTCGAATAAGACATAACTACTTCGAGTGACCCAAGGGTATAACTTCCGCAGTAGCCTCAGCATGAGCCCTAGGTGGCCAAGCAGACTCTATAACTATTCCGGGAAACTGCTTTGAAAGTGGAACTCTCCGTGGCCCAAACGACCCAGCCAAGTCCACTGCCAGCAAGGCAGCGGGCTCAGGCCCAGGTCACTGTCAAACCCCCGGCTCCCCTTTTCCGGGTCCCGAAGGGTGCGTCCGGGGGCGGGGCCTGTGTGTCAGTCCGCTTGAGGGCCGCTCCCCAACGCTCTCCTTCCGGAGCCATGCCTTCACTTCGCGCACGCAGCCGGTCGGCCCCGCTGGATCGCGGGCGCCGGGCGGGGCGCGGCAGGGAGACAGCTGGCTGGCTGGCTGTCGGGCTGTGGCGGGGGGGCGGGGCGCACGCGCGGCAACGCTTCCTCGCCCAGCGCCATCCCTGCGCGTGCTGCCGGTCGGCCCGCGGCGGCGCAGCTCGGAGCCGGCGGGGCGGGAGGAGCGCCCCGGCAGGGCGGGGGCCGCAGCCAGGCCGGGCCGGGGCCGGAATGCCCCTGTTCTTCTCTGCGCTGTTGGCCTTGCTGTTGGTTGCGCTCAGCGCCCTCTTCTTAGGCCGGTGAGGGGATCCCGGCTACGGCGTGTGTGGGGGGATGGCGGGAAGGGAAAGAAGGGAGATTGAGGGGTGGGCGCGCGCTGGAAAGAGGCGCGCG